CAATCACTGCCCTTCTGCGTCAGAAATAAGATATTCACTGACCCCATAGCAGGGAGGCGGGGCCAGCTGGGCAGTCCTCAACCAGGCTGCCCTTTGAATGAGCTGGGTATTCTAAAAAGCAGGCAATTATCCAGGAACTCGAATTCTATCGGTGTGAGGTGGGCTGGACTCCAAGCATCAGTGTCTGTTAAAAAACCTGTCCAAGTGGTTCTAGTGTGCAGCAAGAGCTAGGCATCCCTGAGCTAGAAGGTGCTGGCCTGGGCCAAGCAGCAGCCAGCCCCAGGGAAACAGGCTCTCGGTAGTCTGTAGGATGTCAACGACTAAAACACGTAACTACCTGCCAAGCACTTCATTTGAGAACTTTATTTCTGGCAAGCTAAATGAAAAACTTCCCCAGTGCCTCCCAACTCTCAGCCCACACAAACTTCTCAACCTTGAAGTGAAAAGCACATTTTCCTGCCCAGCAAGCTCCAGATACCCCAGAGGGTGTGTGCGGCCCACATACTGCTGCTGCGCTAGGCGGTGCGGGGCAGAGGCTAGAAGCAAAGACGCCAAGTTTACAGGAGAAACGGGGGCAAGGGAACATGTTAAACAGAACCGCAGGGATGCCGTCAGCCACATTCAGAATGCGGGGAAATCTACGGGAAAATCAGCCAATTTCTTCAATAAATAAAAAGAAATAAAAGAGGAGCAACCAAGAGATTAGAAGAGACAAGAGACATAGCTGTCAACTGTAAAGTATGTGTCTTCTGGGACACTGGTGACGTGACAATCAGGGAGGTGTGCACAGTGCAAGGGACAGAAGGTTTGTGTTCCGCCCCTCCCCCCTTCATGCTGAATATGTTGAAACCCTAAGCCCCAAAGGGAATACCATCTCAGAGACAGGGCTTTGGGAGGTGATAAGAAAAGAGGGCATCTACCTCTGTGACATTCTTCCCCCAGAACCCATAACTTAGTCTCACCATAAGAAGGACACCAGGCACACCCAAACTGAAGGCCATTCTACAAAATATCTGACCCGTGTTTCTCAGAACTGTCAAGGTCATGAAAAACAAGGGAAGTCTGATAAACTATCATAGGCCAGAGAAGACTAAGGAAACATAACAATGAAATGTAACAGGGGCACCCTGGAATAGAAAAAGAACAGTGTAAAAAATGAGTGAGTCCATACAGTCTAGAGTGTAGTTCAGATAATGCCGATCTCTTGGTTTTAACAAATGTATCATGTGTAATGGTATATGAGGTGATACTACTAGGAGAAACCATGTGAAGATAACAGGAATTGTTATCTTTTTTACTTCTATAAATCTAAAGTTACTTCAAAATTTAAAAGTTTACTAAAAACTAGCCCCCAAAAGTCCTTTTTTCAAGGGAGACTTACTACCAGGTATAGCGGAATGTTGGGATGTCTGAGTTTTTCTTTTAAATCATTTATTGGCTGAGGTGGGGTGTATATAAATAAAACAAGACTGGCCTAAATTTGCAGCTGGTGAGGCTAAGAGGTGGGTTGACTGACAATTGTCTCCAGTTTTGTAAGTCTGAAAACCTACATTTAAAAAAAGTGGATAGTGGATAACAAACAAGCATGAACTGGAGCCAGACTGCCTAGCCAATTGTATCTGTTGTTGCGTGGCAGCCTCAAATGGCTGAGAAAATTAAATAAGTCAATTCCCCAAAAGGCTAGAACTATGCTGGGCTATCATCACTGACTTAAGGGGAGAAAGAGGATCACAGACCAAAGCCCATCTAACAAACTGAGCAGAAAGCAGCCTCTGCTCAGTGCATCCTGCTCTCTGCCCTCCTGCACACGAGAGAAGAAAGGGGGTCTCCCCTCCACGGAAAGAAGACCCTAGCACCCAGGATTGCAAAAAGGTGGGCGTCTGCTTGAGGCTCGTAACCCTGGAGTGGGCTCTGAAATGGCCCCTGGATTATGAACACTCGGAAGCAGGTGGTTGTCAGGCCAGCGCAGGGCACTCTGAGCCATCATTAGACAGCAACATGCCCACTGCATGAAAGGCAGGATGCAGAACGAGATATGGGCTGGGTCCTGGAGGCGTTCATCAGCCCACTTGCTTTGCTTACATGGCAGGCCTTTTTGTCTTTAGACTTCTCTCCTTAGGGATCTCCCCATTCAGGTCTCTCAGGGCTGAAGCATCTTACACTGTCAAATGTGTCCCTACTTGGCTACAATTTTACAAGACCACAAAGATACACTTCAGAGAAATATTGGTCCACCTACCCAATCACAACCTTTAAGTCAGTTTAATTCAAGTCCACAAAGACTGAACTGTTTCAGTAGAGGAGCACAGTTAAGAACTGGACCTGGAGATTGGAGGGGGGGGGGGGGGGTGGTAGGGAGGCACTGCCCCAGGAATGGATGCTTCAGAAACATCAGGGATGACCAGGAACAGGAACAAAAGTTGGGGGAGGGGTTAGTTGGAAATGAAGTTCCAGGCTGATGGTTGGCATCCACTGGGAACATGGTGGGGTTTCAGGGGCTGAAAGCAGCCAGTGTGACGGTAAAAGGGCTTGAGGAGCAGCTGTAGTTAGACTGTACGAAAAAAAGTCAGCAGGGGTGGGTCATGCAAGTCTTCAGGGTTCTTTCAGAAACCTCAGAAGCAGGGGAAACCACTGAAGAGTGTTTAAATATGGGGGAGGGGGTGCAGAGGAAGGAGTCACCTGAGCAGACCTGCATTGTCAGAACTCTGTGATGTGGAAGAGAGAATTAGAAGGGGGCAGAGCAGAAGCAGGGAGACCTGTTTGGAGGCTTCCACACAGCCAAGGAGATAGATGGCTGGGCTTGGTATAGGATTAGAGACCACGCAGTTGGAGCCCTGTTTAAGAGATGAGCACAGAGGCCTCGGCTGTATGTTGAGGGTGAGGGAGAGGGAGAGGTGTATGCAGATGACTCCTAGATTTCTTGGGTGACTATTGGGTGCTTTCACAAGGCAGGAGGCTGCCTGTACCAGCCAGAGAGTTGTGTGGGAGGAGCAAGACTAGAGGAAGTTTCCTGACATAGATGAATCACCTGCACGGTGCTTTATATAGGTCACTATGCTGGATGAGGGGCATTTAAAAAGCAAATACAAAAGAAGCAAATATAGCAAGCAACTTGCCTGCCCTGAAGGGCAGTGCCAAAAAGAAACACCAGAACAGAGCAGCCTCAGCTGTGGAAGTATGCAGTGAGTGAGCACAGGAGAGGGTTCAATCACTAAAGCCACTCATAGGTTCTCAGTAAATGTTTGGTGTGTGACTGAATGACCCAGTACAGATACCCTCAAAGAACCAAACTACAATCTCATGCAGTACATTTCTATGAACCTAGTTCTGCCTCAGGGAAGGATGGAGACAAGGAAGGGTGTGCCAGCCTCTTCTCTCAAAGCAGGAATAGAAGGATGAGGAGACCAAATACTCAAAAGAGAGAACAATCAGAAGACCACAGGGCAGACTGTCAGTAAAAGCTGACCTATGAAGATCCCACTCGAATGGTTTAAAAAGGAACCTGCCAACAGGAATACCCAGGGGAAATGGCACAGGGGAAGAAGAGAGGAAGTGTTTCCCAAGGAGTGACCCTGGCTGACCCTTGAAGGATGAGGAGAAGGTGAATGGGGAGAGTCAATGAAGAACCAGAGCGGCCTGAGAGTCTCCCTAACTGCCGACCGGCCTACAAAGATGTTTCGTTGTTTAAAGGCATTAAAGTCCTGTTTTTAAAAAGTGGGAACATTTTCTCAGAAGGTTCAGGAGCTCAGTGCCTTACTGATCAGCTAAGTTCCGTGCACCACTTAGCCAGTGCCTCTCCTATCACAAAAAAATAAACCTATCAAAAATCCAATAGAACACCCGCCTCTCCCAAAATAAAACACCGCACCGACGTTAATACAATCTCCCTTCTTTCTGAAAACTTCTATCAGCCTCCACTGCCCTCCACCCCGGCCCAGTTCACTTCGGCAGAGTCACTTTGCCCTTTTCCTAATTAAGTCCATTTTCTCCACGCAGCAAGGGCTGAAGGGTATGCAGTGGCCGGCGGCGTGGGAACCGTCGCTCCTGCATCGGGACTCGGGGCTCGGCCGCACCCCCCAGCAGTGGGTTCAAGCCGGGTCTCAGTGGCCGAGAGCGAGCGAGTTAAGGACGTCTGCTCAAGGGAAGAGTCAGAGCAGATCTGGCGGAGCCGAGCGCTCCGCGGCGCCAGGGACTGGGCACGCGAGACCCTCCGCCAAGAGCTCAGCGGGGAGGGGGCTGGGACGCGCTCCCGAGGACGCGGACCCTCCGAGCTGCTGAGGCGGCCTAAGGGGATGACACAGCGTTTCCACTGCACCCCGACTCTACCCGCACATCCTGCTCCATCCTCAGAGGGGTACCAGCCCGCGGACTCGCTGCGTCAGCGAATCCCCCACCCCCCTTCCGAGAGGGCAGGGATCGCCCGGGCGTGGGCGCTCCTCCACTCGTGGTCCTAACCTCGCGCACTGCGGACCCGGCTCGAGGTGGAGGGCTGGCAGCGTGACTGCGGGGTGCAGGTGCTGCTCGGAGGTTCCGCCAGCAGCTCGAAAAGAGTATAAGTCCCCACCCCAGGAAAAAGTTAGAATGCCTCTTGGCCACACCAACTTCGCGTCCAGGCCCGGACTCGGAACTTTCCTCCCGGAGTGGGCGGCCACACAGCCCCAAGCGACCCTGCAGAAGCCGCTCGGACCCGGGAGCCCCGAGCCAGGGCCGCAGCCAGCAATGGCCAATCACAGAGAGCCTCGGGCGGGAAAGGCTGGAGGGCGCGGGCAGCCGCGGAGTGATGGCCTTGGTGGCCAATAGGGGACCAGAGTGGGAGTCCTCGCCCATCTCGCTGACCAATGGGGAAGGGACGGCTGTGGCCGATGTCCCTGAGGCAGTGGCTGCTGGCTCTAGGGTGGCCGCGGGTCGGAGACCCTAAGAGCTAAGGGGATTTTGGAGAGGAGTTTGCTCGACCTCCCTGTCGCCATCCGACGACCCTCAGACCGCAGCCCGATCCTCACCTGCTGGAAGCGGGGTTTGCCCAGCTGGAAAGGAGGTGCATCCGTGGAGGCGTTAGCGGCACTAGCCGCCGCCGCTGATGCTGTGGTCGCTGTATCCGCCATGGCCACTGACGCCCGCAATCTACGGCCCTTTTAAAATGTCCCTCCTCGGCCCCCGCCACAGCTGCCTCTCCCCATTGGCCATAAGCAACCGCAGCGAGCCGGGGGCGCAAGGGATTGTGGGGAGTGTAGTTTTTTCGCGACACTGCTCGACACCTAGACTGCAGAGAGTTGCACCAACTGACAGGGTCTCGGTGCCTGCTGCCAGTTCTGCAGGGGTGGACGACGGTCCAGGGAGACCGTGCGGGTATGACTGTAATGGACCATGGGGCGACCCCTCTCTGATTACCCGTCCTAAAAGGTTTGAGTCGCTGATATAGGCGTAGCTCCTGGAGCTGCAGCCCAGAAAAGCCCCACTCAGAAGAGAGTCTGATCTGGCACCAGATGGGCAAGGACTCCAGGCGGAGTAGGGTTTATCTCCAAAGATTTTCTCCAAGGAGTTGCACTGCAGAGCCATCATGCAGTTTCTTCTGTCGCCACTCTGCCCCTTGCCCTGACACAGTCCCTAGAATATGCTTGGTACTCACCACCCCTGACCTTTGAACATTCTGTACCCAGAGTACCCTAACTTTTTGTATTCGCCTGACACGGGCTCTCTTTTTGGCTTTAGACAAAGCATTGCATCTCCCTGCTTCTGCAAAGTCCACGACCGGCTCCTATTACACCCAGCACTTCTTTTTGGTAGCCCTTCATTTATATATTTGTAGTTTTATCTGTTTTTTTTTCTTCTTCTTCTTCTGTAAAGTTTCATAAGGCAGGAGTCGTAACTTTTCTCAGGCACTTAAGTTCTCAGTGCAAGGCATAAGAGGGTTCACAGGAGGGGCTTAAATATTTTCCGCTGAGTTTAAACGGACAAGGACCCTGACAGCTAGCCTCCATTTCTATGGTCAACCAAGCTAGATCCTTCTTGGGCCTAATTCACAAACTGGAAGAGAAGTGGGAGTGTAGCGTAAGGTTTAATAATGTTTCTCAACACCAACGACAAGGCTTTAGGTAAGGAATAGCTCAGGTAGTACAGCAAGGCACCCACAGGGATAGTAAACACACTCGCCTGGAATAAAATGTCAGAATTTCTCAGCTAAATTCTACTTGACAATCCAGACTGGAGGATAGAGGAAGGAAGTCGCTGTTCCATCAAAGACAGTAGAAATACTTGGGTTTGACCCTCAGGAGCCCCATTTTATGTTCATTAATCCCATAGGGAGGAGCAGGATTGACTATGTCTGCCCACATGTTTGACAACCCATGACCTGTAGCATCCATTCCTCACCCACTAATGGATGAACCACAAGAAAACAGACTTTTCCTCAAGCTAGAGGTTCTCACCAGACATGCAGAACTATTTCTATCTTGGATTTTCCCTGCTAGTCCAAGTACCGTGAGACCCTCTTTAATCCTCACCCACCCAAACATCCCCCCCCACACACACACACAATACTCAATACAGATGTCCTTGAGAGAGTGCAAGGGGCCAACACCCAGAGTGGGGGCAGTGTCATCCAAGAGCCCCATCAACTGCCTGCTCCCCCCAGAAAGTCTGCACACTCATCAGAACAGTAACACAACAGAGCCACCTGCCGTATGTGAATTTTTTTATTCTTCATAAAGTGCTGGAAACATGAAGAACAAGCTCTTTATAAACAGTAGTTACAACTAGGAAGACAAACAGCAAAGCAGAACTGTGCCTGCTCCCTGCCCGTCCCGCCTGCAGCTCTCCTCAACTTATGGCGGGGAACAACAACATCCAGCAAGAACCTTGGGCTGCAACTCAGAATCCTTCTGGAGCCATCCCTGCCCCAGGCATTTTGGAAGTTCAGAGTGGAAGTTCAGAGTCAGGGCTGGGGCTGAACAGACCTCAGGGGAAGACCTAGTAGAGGAGCGAGCAGAGCCCTCTCTCCCAAGAGAGACCCCCCCCAGTCCAACTCCTCACTCCAACTACCCCCATTCAAACGTGACCAAAATTCTAGCTATCTGTGAACAGTTGGATTTGATGAATGTTCCTGAAGGGAGGTAACATTACTGGGACTCGCCCCCACATGTGGGGCCCTGATGCATCACCCTGGCAGAAGGCATCAGCCACAGTGTTGCTCTCTTTCCAGGGCTTTCTGAGAGGTCCCACAGCCCTCTCTTGAAAAAGAGGTGATCCTACAGCGCTCAGCTCTTCACTGGGCCAAAAGTAGCTCCTTCAACACCGCACCCCCACAACTTTTGCTAAGGTAGGATTGCCCCAAGCCCCTAAGGGCACCCTGCAGATGCCATGGGGAAGCCTGCTGCATTTTCTGCAAGCAAACAGGGGTTGGGCCAAAGGACACTCTGTTTCAAAGGACAGACGCTTTGTAGCCAAGGCCCGATGAGGCCATGGGTCAGAAGGGACTGGCTGGAACAGCAGCTTGTGGATAGATGAGACAGCCCCTCCTCAATTATGCCAGGAGGAGAAGAGGCTGGGGAGGCTGAGAGCAGCAGCAGCACTGCCAGGCCAGGGGAAGACACGGCACACAGGAGGGCTGCCCCCGCCCTCCACTACCGTCCACGTCCATCCCCAAGACCCAGGGAGATCCAGCCCCACGTGCTCCACAGGGAGGGAGGGGGCACCAAGCATGGGGAGAAGTCTTGATCCCATCCGCAAAAGGCACATTTTAATGGTTTTCCAAAAGTTCAAACCCTGTAGCGGCACAGAGTTTTGGCATCTGGACAGGCAACAAGGATGGAGATGGAGGCTTGATCCCAAAAACATCAGCAGCCCAGAGGCCTGAGGCCTGGAGGGGCCCACATCTGGGAGGTGGGTGAGGACGGCCCCCCCCCCCACACACACCTGTCTCCGTTTTCCACTCACTCTCTCTCACTCACACGTGACACTTAGGGCAGGGGGCCACCTGGAGAACACACTTCCACTCCATCCACGCCACGCTCACTCTGCAAACAGCCGGAGGAAAACAGAGTCAGGACACAGCGGAGGGGACACTAGCTCCTTGCTCTTGAGGGAAAAGAGGCCGAGTAGGCGCTCCCGGTGCCCCTAAATCACAGGTTAAGTGGGCAGCCTGCCACCTGCCCCAGCCTCAGTAATAACACCAGGAGCCTCTAGAGGTGGAAGGGCGCGGCAAGGGCAAGCGTTTAGCCGTGGCAGGCTGGCCGTCTTTGGGGGCAATAGCGTAGGTCCCAGGTACCGCGTCAAACTGCAGCTCACCCCTGCTTGGTCTTGAGCAAATTCTTTGCTCCAATTTCTCAGAGCCCTGAAAGCTGAGGGGTATGAAAACAGGCAGGTGGGAAAGACCTAGAGCTCTCAAAGACACACAAGTTGTGCATGGAACCTGCTGCCTCAGATGGAAGTTCTGAAGCGCCGCCCCCCCCCCTTCCTGCAGCCCCAGTTTGGGCAGGAGGGAGGAGAGGATGCGAGACACAGCGGACAGACTGCACTCTGCCCCGTGTGAGCGAGTTTGGTGGGATGCTGAGGGGGTGCAACCCTGTTTGGACAGTGGATCACACCAACCCCCCAAAGGGTGGGGGTGAAGAGGGAGGGCTACTTGGGGGGCTCAGGGGAGATTTGCAGCAGTGTGGGTGAGGTCTCCATGATGCGCACCAGCAGCCGGTCGATGTAGCTCTCCAGCTCCTGCACGTGCTCGTCCCTCTGGCTCAGCTCCCGCTCCCGCTGCAGGAGCAGGCAGATGAGCTCGTCGTGGGTCAGGTGGTAGTACTTGGCTGACTGGTCCAGCACCCCCGAGTCCTGGGGCCAGAGGGAATGAGAGTGAGAGGGCAGCCTCTGGCCCACCGGCCCGCCCACACCCCAGTTTTACCAGCACAGACAGGCCCCTGGAGCTGCCCGGCTCCACGGCCAGCTCAGGGCTCTGGCGGGGCACCAGGTCTGCTCCTGCCTGCCCTGTCCAGCGCCCTGCCCCTGAGCTCCAGGAGCCTGTCCTCTGTCCAGTGCAACGCCTCCGGCACGGTGCTCCCAACGGGCCTCACCTTCAGCCTCTTGGTGTCCGCAGCATGGCCAACCTGGGGAGCAGGAGCCACAGGTTGAACACCGCCAGATGTGACTGTCTTGAGCTTCTCCAGCCCACTGCTCAGGGCTGTGCTCAGACTAGAGCGCGGCTTCCTGTCGGGGCTGCCCTCCACGGGGACAGCGGTGAGGGGCTTCACAGGGTGCGGGCTGCAAGGACAGACAGACGGGCAGCGCGTTATGAGCGGGGTGGGTGGCCTCCAGCCTCCAGCACTTGGAATGGTTTGCCTCGGTGGTGGAGCCGTCCTCTGCTCCACCCTCACTACTCTCCTAGTTCCTCCAGCAGCCACCTGCTCCCGCCACCCGACTCCTTCGGTGACCTTGCCCAGCTGACCTTGGCCCTTCCCAGGAGCAGCAGAGATTGCCCTACAAACTTCTCTGCACCTACAGCCAGTCTTCACCAGGGCCACACTCCATCTATCTTCCCTCCTCCCCACCCCCCACTTCCATACTGCGGCCCTCCCAGTCTCCCAGTTTTCCCAAGGCTGGGGACCCCTAGGAAGTGGGACTTTCGGTTTAAAATCAAGAAGGACCCGAGCAGACAAGAGACTTGCTCGCCCTCCTCCCTACTGGTGGCTTCCCACCAGCAGTGACACCAGGCCCAGAAACATCACTCAGCCTCTTCTCCTGGCACCCCTCACCCCTTCTTCCTTCCCACTCAGCCTCTCCAGAGCGTGCGGGTTATATTCTCTCTCTGTAAATCCTTACCTTTTGTCGACTCCTCAACCCCCTAGAATAGGACATACCCCCCACCTGTCCACCTTACTGAGGCCAGCAAGTCCTGGGTTCTCACCTCCAGGACCTGTTCAAGGTGCGACACCTGGACCCTCCCTGCTCTAAGCTGTTCTTCCCTTGTTCCCCTTGCCCTGTCTGGTTTTCTTACTTCTGTCAGCCCCTTCTCAGTCTTAACTGCTTGGTCTGCTCAGGGTCTCTCCCCTCCAACTCCCTGACTCCTCCCATCTCCTTCTCCATCTCCATCCCAGAGCCCACCCCTAGGCTTTTAGACCCATGTAGAGAGTGGCTCCGCTTGGGGTCTACCCCCAGGCCTGCTATACACACCTTCCTGTGGTCCCCAGCAAGAATGGCGCCATTAAGCTGCCTGTGATTTCAGTCAGAAACCTGGGAATCCCCTTCCTCCCTTCCTCTTCAGTCGGAACAAACATACAGCTCTGCTCCTCTCAAAACAGCCCCTCTTCTTCAAGCTAGTGCGAGCTAAACCTTCCAGCCTGCTACAGCTGCTAAATCATCTCCTCCGTGGGAGCTCCGCGCGCCTCCACCTGAAGCTGCATGGAGCATGTGATGGCACCTCTCCACTCCCTTGCCGCCAACCAGCTCCGATCAGGGTAGATCTCTGGGGCTACCTGCCCCCTCCCCTTTTCCTCCTGGTCCTCTACTTCCCCCTACATCTCAGCCCAGGGAGAGATGCACTCTACTTTAGCTATTCTCTGTCTGGAACATCACTCCTTCACCTGGCGGCCGGCCTGCTAACTCCTACTCCTTGATTAAAAGCTGGACACAGCTGCTTCTTCCAGGAAACTTTCCAGATTCCCCAGGCTGGCTAACCTCCAGCACCCTGTACCTATGACAGGTACCCGAACTGACAGAAGCAGACCCCCAGACCAACTAGCCTGCCTGGGGGTGGGGAGGGCTCTTAAAAAGTTTTATTTTATCATATTTATTTATTTATTTATTGGGGGGGGCTCTTAAAATTTATGCTTACTTAACATCAGGAAGAAAAGGTAAAATGGCTTAGCCCAAGGCCCTGAGCCCCACTGGAGGAGACACCAGACCCCAAGATGTCAGCTCTGTTCCCCAGGTGCAGGCTGTGATTCAGTCCCCAAACCCAGAGAGCAGCAGAGCACACAGCCAGGAGCACAGTCAGGGCAAGAAGCGTCCCCGTCCTGTCTTCCTGCCTGGGATCTCCCATAGGGATGGGAATGGAAAAGCAGCTCTGATACCACCTGTCGACTGGCAGCGCTGCTAGAGGAGGAACCACGCAAGTGGGGCCTGGCCTGACTGGCCCTGCCTCTGAGGGACCCTGCCCCCTGAAGCTCTCTATTTGGACTCTATTTCCTCATCTGAGAAGGAGGGATATCTCCATTTGGTTCATTTGCTTCATGATGGAAGGAACATGCTAAATATAGACATGAGCCAACTCTGAAAACTCCTGACAGCGGCCCTTGCAGTGCCGCTCACAGAGCGGGGCAGGCGCCTCCTCCGCACCGGAACAGCGCCCCCCTCCACCGGACAGAGCAGGGGCAGCGCCCAGGCCTTCCCACCCACTTCTCTGATGTCGGCCCTGGCCGCCTGTGGCTCCTCTTTACGGGTCGGGTCGCTCCCCTGGATTCCTCGGGTGGGCGTACCGCGCAGGCAGTGTCTCTCACCTCGGGCCAGGGCCTGGCTGGCGCACAGCGGAGGCAGGCGAGGCGCAGTGAGCTTCCATGACCAAATGCAAGCGTCTGTGGGCCGGGGCCTCACAGAGGCCAGTGCTGGGGCCTGTCCTGCTCCCCAGCCCCACTCCGCGGCCTCTTCTGCTTCTCCTGTCTCTTCACTCAGGTCTCCAAGGGAGCTCAGGGCCCCTGTGGACCTTGCTGCCCGGCCAAGTCACACCCCAACACTCATTCCCCCCGGCAGCCCACACACCCCCACTCCCCTCAGTGACCTATGTCTTCAGAGCCCTGTTCTGGAGACACCGGCTGGTGTCATGGCCACATCCTCCTCCCAGAACAGACCAAGCGCAGTGACCAGGGCCACACAGGCCTCCGCTGTCCACTCGGCCCAGCCCTGAGTGTACCACTGGCCCCACTCCCCCTGAAAGGCACAACCCAAGCCGAGGAGGCACTGTCAAGACGGGCGCTTTCTTCTGCGGGGAAGCATTGTCATCTTTTGTTTTGCCTCTTTCTTTCCTCTGTGACCCGTTTCACTCCTCTGCCTCTCTCGACTTCACAGCCTGCTCCACACACCTCTCGAGACAGGACAGCACTTGCAGCAGACCCCCCTGCTTTGACAAGCCTCACTGCCCCCAGCTCCCAGCTCCTAGCATCGCCCTTGGCCATCCCCTGGCCTTGCCTCTCCCCTCCCCATTCCTCACCCCCTAAAACAACTCATCAGCACCAGCCCCCTAGCCACTTGGCCAAGGTTCCAAGGAGGCAGTTTCAGAGCTGGCTCACCCACCGAAGGCTGCGATCTTCAAAGCCTCCAAGCTGTCTCCCAGTCAAGGGGCCCTCCCCACCGTGGGAGAGGCTGAGGCTGAAATGTGAACACTGGGGCCCTGGGCTGCCCCCCACCCCCACCCCCAAGGTACTCTCTGGACGGCCGCTCACCTGGCGCTGGGCTGTGACTCCTCAGCTGGTCGTGTCTCCAAGGGCAGAAGCACAAGCAGGGAGGCTGGGGTGGCTGCAGCGTGGTCCTCCCCGAGGGGGGCAGGGGAGCCCTCAGGGGGGGAGTCTGGCTCCCCAGGGGCTGGGGAAGAAGAGGTCAGGGGCCAGGCTCCAGGCAGGGGCGAGCACAGAGGGCTGGGCCCCCCGTGGCGGTGGCTGGCCCAGGGGGGCAGAGGGGGTGGTGGGAAGGCAGGCTCTGGGGGGGTGGGCAGCTCTTCTGGACCAGAGTGGATGGAAGGTTCCCTGGACCCTGGAGAGGATGTGGATGGGAGGCTGGGGGGATCCTGTCTCCCTTGAGATAAGAAGGGGCTCAAGGCATCCTCCTCAGAGGCCCACAAGTCAGCCTGCTGGGAGCTACCTGGTGGGGGTCCAAGACCCTCTCCTACTGGTCCCGGGGTCTGGGTCTCAGGAGTCTCAGAGCCTGCCCCTCTCTCCTGAGCCCCCCAGACCTGCTGACTCTGAAGAGCTGAGCTGTTTGAGTAACTGGGGGTAGGGGCAGGGCCCTCGGGGCAACTGGTGGACAGAGATAGGCAGGACCCAGACAAAGGAGGACTGGCATCCTCCACTAGATCTTCCAGGCCTGGCTCGCCCAGCAGGGTTCCAGAAGAAGGGCTGTCAGACTGCGCCGCCCCATGCGTCTCACCCTCCTCCTTGGCCTCCTGGGGACCAGCAACCAGCCCACTTGGGAAGGCATTTTCCCCTCCTGCCTCTGCCCCGCTGCTGCGCAGCCCCCCCGCCTCCTCCTCCTCCTCCTTGAAATCCGAGGGCGTGAAGAGGCGTGGTGGCTTGGGAGGTGGACTGCTGGGCTGCAGCCCCTTGTCCAATACCCGCTCAGATTGGGGTTCTGGCTCCAGTTCCAGTGGGGGGAGCCCCTCGCTCCCCTTGGGGCTCACAGCTTCTGGTGACTCTGGCTGCACTTGAGGAGGAGGCAGTCCATCAGATGCTCCCTGCAGGACTAGTGCGGACGTCTCAGCTGCGGGAGAAACGGTGACCACATCCCAAGGCCAGGAATCCTCCGTTGCATTGAGCTCGTGGAACGGCTGGCTTTTGCCGCGGGAGACCTCCTCATCCTGGCCCTCAGGGGCGTCGTCGGGGCCAGGCAGCCTCTCCCACACACTGATCACTTCTGGGGAGCTAAACAGAGATGTGGCACTGTTTGCTGGACTCTGCCCTGCTTCCCCTCCTGGGGCCAGTGGCTCCCTGTCTGCTTCCGAGTCTGAGGCTCTCTGGTGCAGCGGGTCTGACGTGGAAGGCGGGCCGGCCCCTCCCGACCCGAGGGCCCCTGGGCCAGCTGCACGTGTGCTGCTCTGGCGGTCCAGTCCCAAGTCCAGAGGCACCCTGGGCTCCAGCCACACGCTGCTCCCACCTCTTCCTCCGCCCCCAGGGTCCCCCTGGGGCTCAGCTGCATCCTCTGCCATGGCCCTGGGGCCTGGGTCGTTCAGCCCAGTCGCCTCCAGCCCCACTCCTGCAGGGGCCAGGATTTCACTCCTGGCCTCTGGACACAGCCTGCTGGCAGCAAAAACGTTGAAGGTGTCGTCCCACTCAGGCAGGGTTTTCCCAGGGGAGGCCAGGGGGGTGGGGCTGGCCCTCGAGGCACTGGGGAGAGAGGGAGCAGGTGAAGGAGAGTTTAGTGCTATGTCGGCTATGAGTTCCTCGAAGAAAGGGTTGTTCTGCAAGGAGGTGAGGAATGGGTTGGTGAGACCCCAAAATCCAGCCGGGGTGGCTTCAGGGGCAGCTGTGGCGGCGGCGGCGGCAGCAGGGGAGGCGGCTGCAAAAAGGTTAGTGCTTAGCATGGGAGCAGCGGTGGGAGCAGGAGTGGGGGGGGCCGGAGCACAGGGGGAGCAGGGGAGGTGGTGAGGAAGAGCAGCTGGGTCAGATTCTACCTGAGGAGACACGTCCAGGCTGTGGAGGGAGACAAAACCGTGAGCCTCCTGGTTAATGCCAAGACTGGAAACGCCTGCTTACCACCACGCCCCGTCCCCACCCCGCGCCCCCCTGCCTGGGGACGAGATGGCACCATGCCACGAAGCCTGGCTTCAGCCATGTGGGGCACCCCAACGTGTAATTCAACTAGGAAGCACCAAGCAGGTGTTGGACACAGCTCATTTAATCCTCACACCAGTCCTGAAGAACAATAACCCCACCTTATAGGCAGGATCCAAACCTAAGCCACGTTTTCTTTGTGCGACCCCCCTCTAAGACTCTACTCCACCCCAGACTGACACCTGAGGAACCAGGCATAGAATCAGAAGGCAACACCAGCCGGATTAGAGGGGGCAAGGGCGTCAGCTGGGCAGTCAGCACTAATAAGTCCAGCCGGGAAGCTGCAGTCTGACTGCCGACACAGGCCGGGTTCTACTGACCCCTGCAGAAACAGAAGGCAGCTCAGGGCTGTCATCTGGCGAGACAGGCGCTAGTCAAAGAAAACCCGCCCGCTGGCTCCTGAGGGGTGCCGCAGGCACCCACGGAGCGCACGGGACACGGCTGAGGACGCCTGCTCTCAGGTGCTCCCACAGCTGGCCGCCAAGGTGGTGTGCCTGCCCACGGGCCAGCCTTGACTGAAGCCCTGTGGAGGTGGGGGGAGGGGCAAAGGCTGAAACGGGGCTGCAGGAGCAGCAGCAGGACCCAGGATGTCACCAGGGCTTCCCAGGATCTCCCACACAAACCCCTGACTCCTGGGGAAATCTGCTCCGTGGACATACATTCCCAAAGTCATCCAAAGTCATCCAACAATGCTTTGCTGGCCTTCCGGCGCTCCTTCTCGTGTACCGCCTGTACAGAGCGGCTGACTCCAGGGATGTGGACAGAAGCAGAGGCCAGAAATGGGGCTCTCGGCTTCCCCAGGACACTCATGGGGCACAGATAGAAGCCCAGAAAGAAACTGCAGGAAAAAGGGGTGACCACTCTCTAGCCCTCCCACCCCCATTTTCAGCAGTCTGGCAGTGGCAGCCTGGGTCGTGTCGGACCCACCTGAGTGTCCTCCCTGTTACCTGAGGCCCACCTCCTTGAACTCCCATGACACCCATCCCTTGCTTGCACCCTGTCTGTCCAGGTGGAAACACCCTGGGGAGCACCTACACATCCATCTTCTCCACCCAAGTGGCTTCTCCCATCAGGAACTGCTAGAGATAAGCCCTGAAGCAGCAGAAGCCAGATTTTACCAGTCAGTCCTTGAGAAATGCAGGCTGGAGTTGGAGGGCATCTATGGGGAAAGGCTGACGAGCCTGGAGCTCACAGGGTTCTTCCAGAACCAGGGCCAGACGGAGCAGGCCGCACACAAAGCTGGGCAGAGGCAGGACCAGCTCTCCACAAACACCAGGGCAGCCAGTGGGAAGGAGTCCAGGGCAGTGAGAGGCAGAGGGGGCTTCCCCGAAAGCCTCATACACAAGGCAAAGCCAGCTCTCAGACTCCGGGGTTTCTCTTCAGAATCCAGAATCCAGCTGCCAAAGACTCTCCAGACCCTACCGTTGCCCTATAATAACCCCTCTCAGGGTGGGTTCTCGGTCTCACACCACCATGGAGAGATGGAGGGAGAGCAAGTCCCCCTCTCTCCCACCCAGCTCTTGCCTCTATGGCAAAGACACTAAAAGAGGGAGAGGGAGAATGCTGAGCCTTCAGCCCCAACAACACCAAACTTTCCTTCTCCCTACATTCCAGACCCGCCCTTAGGTCAAGGCACACCTGGCTACCTCGGGGGCCCAGGAAAGCCATGGGTCACCAACATGAGAGGCAAGACTGTCCTCAGCCTACCCTCCACTGGAGCACCGCTACTCGGAACGGGTGGCGGGGGATCTGAGGGAAGAGAGTTCCCTCAACACCCAATAGCACTGAGCTTACTTAGCTTTGTGCCTTCGCCCTCCAAGCCCAGGCTGGCCCCACTCACCCGTGCTCACCCGTGCTCACCCGTGCAGTCTTAGAGTCACCTGGCCACAGTAAATGCAGGTCAGGAGAGCTGCCAGGAAGCGGGTTGGGTGGCACCCGCCACGAGCTCCCCAGAGGTACACACAAGCCCGTTGGTATGGAACCAGCAGCGGCTCTCCCTGGAGGAGGCGACTGCAGGCGTGGCCCAGCGCTCTCCCCGAGGCAGAGGCACCCCTGAGGGCATCCGCCCAGCCTTCCTACCCGCAACACAATGTCCTGCCCGCCGCCTCCCTGGCCTAGCTCCCCACCAAGTACACACTCTAAAGGTTCTCGCTCTAAAAGCGAGATCCACGCGTCCCCACACGTGGCCGCCTGTGCAGGCTGGACTCTGAGAGCAGGCCCCACTGAGCCAGCGTAATACAGGAACCAACGTACTATCTTCTCTTTAAGACCAAAATCTGGAGGAGGAAACCAAAAGCCCAAATGTCTCTGACCTTTCGACCTGAGGGAACAAAACTTTAGGGCCCACGGGGACCTTAGAACATTTGGTTGAACCTGCAACTTAATGCAGGAGTCACCTGTTCACTCCGAGCCCCCTCTCCTTAAATACCACTGTGGCCGGGCAACTCACTACGCCACCAGCCACCTCCGCCGCTGGAGGCTGGGTCTCCCTGGTGGACAGTGCTTCCTGAGGCCGGGACGAGCTGTGTCCCTGTAGTTTCTACACACCGGTATCAGAGGTGGCAGGTAGGCCTGCAAAGGCTCTCTACCAGGCCGTCCCCCGAAAGGCCAGTCTTCGAGGCATGCCCCCCCACACCTCCCCAGCAAATGAGCCCATTGCCACGTCTCCTGAAGCTCTGGCATCTGGCATCCACCTGTATGCGCCCTGAGGTACAGAAAATACGTCCAGGAGGCTGGGCACACTCTCAGCCATCATTGGGGTACAAAGAAGTGATATAGTGGGGCCCTGTAAGCTCTAAGAAGGAAGCCCAGGTGATTTAGCCTCCAAACCAGAGTATCTTCACCAGAGTAAAGGGCCGCTGTTAACTAGGCCAGGAAGCCAGGGTGTGTGGCCACACTAACGCCAAGTCACCAGGCACTCCTCACAGTTACCACTCTCTGCACTGAGAGTCTGCTGATCTTTTTGGCTCTTCAAGGAGCCCACACACTGTAGGCTTATCGGGACCTTATCCTCCACCCTGGCTGAGGGGCAGGGCAGCTGCAGAGATTGCCGACAGTCACATGCCTCTGTGCTGCACCACACCCCCCAATAAAAACAAGCTGGAAACACTTGATGCTGTATAAAGCTCTCTGGTTAACGTGAGAGGGAGGGCATGGGCGTGGGGGCATGAGCTGGCCTTGGGAAGCTCATACTGAAAAAGTGATAGACGCAAAGGACACTTTGGCACTGGCTTACCACACCGTCTGGACGTTGCCACACATGCTAAGTGGCCTGGGCTGCAGCTCAGTGTGAAGGGTTCACATCAGAGCCCCGAGCAGGGTAAGTCTTGCGGCCCAGACCTTACTCACAACTGCCCACTCCCCCCATGTGGGCACATGGGTGGGACCTAGAGTAACGGCCATGGACCTGGCAGACAAGGGTCGGTCACAGGAACAGCTTCCTAGCTTCATTCCCTCTCTCCCCGCCAGGCCTTGTGGCCTTGTGAGTGAGTGGCAGCCCTTTGTATCTCGAGCTGCACCCAACACTTACCGCTGAGGCTCTTTATGGAACATCAGTGCCACCTGGGAGCACTAGAGGGCGCTGCTGCCCTTCAGCGTGAGGAACACTCCGCCATCAGCCCCAGGGCACAGCACCCCCAACCTGGACCTATCCCCCACGGGAGATCCTGCAGCTACATTCCATCACCCCAGTTCCAGTTCCACTGTCTCCTGACGCGAGTCAGCTCATCTCATTCTCCTCAGAAGCCCTAAGCACGCCCTCTGGGTAACTGCCAAGTTGTCACCTCCCCTTATCAAGGCACACGAGGCCAAGGTGATGCTGAACAAGCTTATGTCCGGCTCCCAGACCTCTCCAGGCCAGGCCACTTTACCCAAAGAATACCTGCCCCACCTGCCCGGCAGCCACCATGGCCCAGGGAAGGCAGCAGTGTCCAGGGTGCTCCCACCCCACAGCTGAGGGCAAGCTCAGAATTCAAGCATGAGGACAAGACCCTCAGCTTCCTTATGTCCATGAGTGACCAGACTTCTCTCAACACCAAAAGGCCTTTTGAAGAGACAGAGCAGTGGGAGGAGAGTGGAGGCAGGAGCAGTGACACCCACTCATAGCCTGCAGAGGCCTGAGCCTAAAACCTGGGCTCGTGCCTATAAATGACCTCACAGAACGGTGTTTCTCAGCACATGTCCTGCCCCATGAGAGGCCCACAGACCTCCACAGATGACAGTACATGCTCTGTGCTTCCCCCAGGAAAGATCCATCCAAGTGTCCTGCCTCTCCCTCCACCCCGTCTACAAATAACTGCTTTGTCACAGGGCCCCAAGCTCAGAGCGAGCATCTGAGAAGGCCCTTGGTCTTCTTTCCAGTCCCCATGCTACAGGCGACTAGCGGTCCCCTGGGGTTCTGGGAAGTCGGGACAGAGGCTAGGGGAGGCAAGACTCACCCAGAAACTGATCCAACCCACACACCCAACTACGAGGTCGTACAGAAGTGTGGCCAGACAGCCAGGGCCCAAATCCAGGGTGCCCACTCCTCCCTCAGAATTTCACAGGGCAAGAGAAAAACCAGGACTTGGGGATTTGTCTCTTTTCTGCCAGGGAGTAGGTCTGGGGGCCCTCCCTCTCCCCTTCACCACTGTACACAGCCTCCCCACCCCACCTCCAGTCCATCTACCCGTCAGGGTGGGTGGGAATGGGCAGGATCTGTGAGAGCGCAGAAACAACTCTTGCCACACTGGTCAGGGCTCCACAGATGCTTCCATGCAGGTCTGCCCCAGGCCCCTGAGAAGGGGATCACATGGCCTTATGGCCTGGGCCTAAAGCCCCGCCCTGTTGGGCAAGGTAGCAACTTCCACTGGCTCAGAGTCAGGAGGAAGCAAAAGGGCCCGGGGCTCTGCCCAGGCCTGAGCGGAAGGACTCCTGCATCCCTCTCCTGGGTGGAACTCAGCTGTCTCACCACGTCAGGGGAGTGACTGGGCGTAAGTGCGCAGAGGTGTGAGGTACTTGACTCCCCTCTTACACAGGGAAGAGACTGGGCTAAGCTGGAGCAGCTGGCAGGAGGCTGCCTAGCTTCAGAGAGGGCAGGCGAAGTATGCGGGCACAGTGCCCAGCCCTTCTCTCCACCCGCCAAGGCTTCCTTACCTTGAGGCCAGAGGGCAAGAAGTGCAGGTTAAGAAGCAAACAGTCATACAAGTGGTCTTGCCTGCCTTCCCCCTGTTCCTTCCCTCCCTGGGGAGGTGGTGCCAGCTCCTGGGGCCCTCGAGCACAGCCTTGGCAACTCACCTGTCTGTGTGCTGCCGACAAGCCTTGGCTTAGGGAGAGCTCAGCTCAACCATGCAAAGCCAGAGCCCCAGCAGCTACCCGAGGGCCACATCTGCTGCATCCTCCCTGCCCCAGGGTCCAGGCTGCGAACACCCAGCATCCTCCCCAAGGAGCAAAGCTGGTCTTGCCAAGGACCTACCTGGGTTTCTGAGTTGGTTCCTTAGCTTCTCTCAAGCCAAACCAGCTACTCTTGGACTTTTCCTCCCCGCTGGATGAGTGGTGGGGGGAGGCCCCTAGGAGAGGGCCCCCTTTCTCCCCCAGAGAGCTGCGACGCCCCAACTCACTCCGACCCAGCCCCTGGTGGTGATGGTGGAAGAGGCCTATCCGGGGCTTCCGCTCCTCCTTCCGGGCGCCCTCCTTCTCTGCCAAGGCCTCAGCAGAGGCCACCATGGGCGTGGCGACCTGCACGGGCTTCCCCTCCAGAAGCCGGGCCGCCTCCTCCTCTCCAGAGCGGCCAGCCCCGACAGCCTGATTGCTCGGCTCCTCCTGTCCAGGGGCCACCTCCGAGCTGCTGGTGCTACGGCTGCCTCTGCCCCAGGAGTCATCTGCAGACCTGGGCCCCTCCTCAGAGGGCCGGGAAGAGGCACTGTGCAGGGAGCTGGAGAGTGGAAATGAGCCCGAGATGGAGCTGCGGTGCCGCATGGGGGCCTGGGGCTCCTCGTTGTAAATATGGCTCCCGTTGACACAGAGGGAAGAGCGAGAGGCCACGTCCAGCTGGCCCTGGAGGTCAAGGAGGGCTCGGGGAGGAGCCGCTCGCATCTGGCTGGCCTCATCGCTGTATGTCCTTTTGTGCGTGAGCAGCTTGGGGGACTGCATTGAGTCCCTACCTGAAAGGGAAGCACACGTGGAGTTGGCAGCTGCAGGAGAGCCCAGCCTCCCGGCCAGGCCTCCCCTGCCCACCGCCCTGTGCCCTCCCTGGGGGAGGCTCACTTACCCCCTTCGGTGGACAGCCAGCTGGTGCGGCTGGGTGAGCGGGTGAGGAGGTCAGCGCCGGGCCCCTGGTAGGCCAGGCTCCCGCTGGCGGAGGACAGGGTGCTGTCCGAGCCCAGAGAAGTGTTGGACTGGGTGAGGGACGACTTGCGCAGCTTGTTTCGGAGGAAGAAGCCTTTGGCTTTGCCCATCTTGCCCAGGCTGCCCAGGTCAGGATCCTCCAGGGCACTGCTTGGGAGGATGGCAGAGGCAGATTCGAGCTCGTACTTCTTCTTGCCCTTCATCTTGTCCTTGATCTTGCTGAAGGGGGACCGCGGCTTGTCCTTCATGGACAGGTCGAACATGCTGGCGCTCAAGTTGTTGCGCGTGAACTGGATGGTGACCTGGATCTCCCCACGCTCCTTCTCCTTCTTGCCGGCCTTGGAGTGCAGCTTGTACCACCTGTGCGGAGGGGAGGGGAAAGAGGGCTGGGCGGTGGCCACAGGTGCAGGGAGCCTGGCTCTCACACAGCACCCCTGGCTTCGGGGACCCACGACAGTCTCTCCCCACGCCTGTTCTGACACACAGGCGCTGCCTTCCAGGCACAGCTGAGAAACTGTCCATGGCTTTTCCACAAAGGCTTAGAAACCACATCCCGAGTCGGAGAAGCGCCTCCATGCTACGGGACGGGGCAGCAGTTAACATGCCCTGCTCTCCCTACGGAGCTCACCTAGCACCTGGAGCTCAGACAGCCCCACTTCCCCCCACCTCCCGACTTCTGAAACCCAGAAGGGCCAGCTGGTCCCTGGGAGGCACCTCCAGGCCCCGTACAGACAGACCTAGCCACATTTCCCCCTGTTTACATCATCTCCGGTCAACAGCAGCCAAAGTTCTGCTCTGAGCCACGGGCAAGCCTAGGAAAGAACAGCTCACCCAGAGGCCCAGGGCCAGGAATACACACGCACACATACACACACAAATCCCTCATCCACTGGGTGACTCACCCCAAGTCCTGCCAGGACACCTCTGCAAGATGGAGCAGACAAGAATGGCACAAGGAGACCTTAGGCAAGAGACGCAGGGAGGGGAGACAGCACCCACACCTGTGACGTGGCTACTGTCCCAGCAGAGTGCGGGGCCTCTCAGCTCATCCCACTGCACAAGACTGTGAGAGGGGAGACACTACCCTGGTTTTATAGATGAGGCTGTTGAAGGCCAAAGGCAAAGTCATTCATCCAAGAGCAAGCCGCCAGGAAGGAGATACAGATTCTCATCACTCATGACCTTCCCACTACACTCTCAGAAAGGCCCCTAACACACAGGCCTGAGGCCACGGGGAGGGGTGGGGGAGGGTGGGGCTCCCCCTACAGGAGAGAGCCTCCTTCCACTGCCTCCCCAACGCCCTAGGAGACACCTAGAGGTCTGAGGACTGACCAGTCAGACTCTGCCTGGCTGGCCACACCACACAGCACCATGTGAGCAGCTGCACAGCTCCTCTCCAGCTCCCTCTACCACGCACATCCTTCCCCACCTCCTACCAGTGTGAGCAGAAACCCAGAAAGGCTTTGGACTGAGGGACGCCAGGCCCAAAGGATGGGGCCAGGTGCCAGGCTGGAAAAAGGAGACACTGAACATCGTCCCTTTCTCACACTGGCACCCAGAATACAGAGCCTCCCGGCAAGTATGAGCCAAAGTAAAACATTCAAAGGACATCGAAAGGAGCGCCCCAGAAAGCAGGACAATGATGATGCAATTATTAGAAGTCAATCCAAGGAGGTTCCTTCATGGACAAGTAACTGGAGTCAAACACAGGAGAGTCTGCTCCTGCGTGCAGGGGGCTTGGGCGCCATTTCTCCCATGTACAAAACAAGAAAACAGCCCTGCAGACTGAAAATCACCCCCTCACAGGAGATACTTAGGACAATGGAATGATTCTGCATGATACTATAGTGGTAGGTAGTCTGGCGAGTGAAGAATAAAAAAAGAAGAAACCCTGACATAACTACAGACTCTAATAATAATGCATCAACACTGACTCATTAATTGTAACAAATGCACCGCACTAGTAAGATGCTCGGTGGGGGTGGGAGGGCTGTTAGAGAGTATTTGGGACCTTTCTGTACCCACTCCCTGTTCAGTGAACCTAAAAATTAAAACTAAGAAAACAAACAATTTAAAAAAGGAGAATGCGAGCACAAAGAAGCCATGAAAGACGACGTGCGAGAACGTTCTCCTAAGGACAGAGCACCCGCACTGCCGGCCCATGAGCACGCATCACAGGCCAAGACAGGTGTCTCTGTGGGCCTGAGTTGTAAAGAGGCGACCCCAGAGGCCCCCAAGGGGAGACGGTGGGTGCCCGCTGCCTCCTCCACCCCCACTGCCTCCTCTTCTGCCACTCCCGGCTGCTCCTGGGCCGAGGGGACCTGCACCTCTTTTGTGGAGCTGAGGAGGCACAGTGCTCACAATGGTTGATGAAGAGCCCAAGGAAGGAGTTGAGACTGAGAACAGTCAACTTTAATTTGGAGGTGGTGGGTCAGGAAGTGCTGCGGTGCGTGGAGAGGACACCCCACCACGGAGGGGACCCCTGAAATTTCACCCACTCTGAAGCAGATGGGACAACCAGCAACAAAGACGCACTGCACAGCTGGCCGTGGAGGGTGAGGCAGAGTCACACGCTCCCGCAGCAGACAGGGGTGTCTCCTACAGGGGCGCTGCGCCCCAGGGCTCTGCTCCAGGAAAGGAAGACACAGTTGGAAAACCACAATCCTGACAGCGCAGCAGTTTCCTCTCCCCGCCCTTTCCTTTGCATCCCCAGAGTCGCTGGTTATGAGCACAGCCACACTGCACTTTGTCAAACGGAACGGCGCCCTAGGCGTTGTTTGGTCAGTGGCCAAGGGAGGCGAGATGGGGACGGTATGGGTACTGGGAAACAAGCCCCTTCTCCCTGAGTGGCATTATCCAGCGCTTATCTTTTATTCTAGCGAGTTATTTTGTTCTCAATGTTTATCAACAACAACATGAAAAGGTCTTGTATAGCTTCTTTGATTGGAGAATTTTAGTATTTTTTCATTTATCTGTGTCTAACCAAGGACAAGTTTTTAAGTTTTTGTATGTAGCTGCTAGAAATAGGGTAATCTGCCCTAAAGTAGGGATAAATTACTCTAAATAAAATGAATTAGATAGTCTTCCCTTCAAGTCAAGTATCTCATGGCTTTAATAAACTTCTGGTTTAAAATGAAAAATAACGGGGGGTGGTGGACGGGTTCATACGCTTGGGAGGCAGAACAGTGTCGGGCGCTCGTTAAGTGGCGCCCGCACCGCAGGGAGGCGTGCCCTCAACATTCTGCGGGAAAAGTTCTGCAGCCTAGAATTCTAGACCCAGTCAATCAAGCATGAAGGGGCAATGAAGCCTGGTGAAGATGGTCAGATTGGTCCCTGAAAGGCTCAACGTCCCCCCATGCAGAAACATACCGCACACACCATATCACAACACCCCGCCCCACCCTAACTGCACACATACACCCCTGCACACCAGGCACCACGGCCATCAGCTCCCACCACAGCACCAGGTCCCAGAGATTCACATGGACACAAAGGGATTGGGATGGGGGGGTCTTTTGTATTAAAAGTCCCTATGCAGGGGCCCTCCCTGGTGGCACAGCAGGGTAAAGCACAGCACTAAGAAGCTTAAGCCGCTTCCGCATGAGTTCGATCCCCGCCTGCCCCAGGGAAGCAATGGCGCGGCAGACCTCTCCTGACCCGCCCGCTGCTCCCCTCAGCAGTGGACTTCGTCGATCTGCCTGTTCCGCTCTGTCTCTGGTGAATCCTCTCACCCTCTGCATCTCTGGCCTGTACCCCAGTTCTGTATGAATAAATAAATCTTTATTAAAAAAAAAAGTCCCTATGTATCAAAAAGATCAGAATTAAGTCACAACAAGGGCTTGGACAGAGCAGTTCTTTGGGTATTGTTTTAAATGCTGAAACTTTTTTTGCAAAAGTCTTTCCAGGGGCATCTCCAATTGCATCATGTTGGAAGAATCCACCATGATGATGCCCTTATGTGTTCATCATGGTGATGGGCCTGGCCTCTCTTTGGTGACCCACTTGATGGCCTGAGCAGAGGGAGGCCGGCCTTCTGGTTTCCCTTCAAAGTGGGGAGATCATCCCTGGGAAGGCTGGGTCAGGACGATAGCAGCCCAGGCAGGGTAGGTGAGACTCAGTGGACATGTGCACGTGTCCTCTTGCAATATGCAGGACAAGATGGGAAAGGCTGTGAGTCAGGGAGTCAGGGAGAAGAAAACTGTGAGACTGTGAGAGGATTGTCTGGGGGACAAGAGAGAAAAATTAATAGAAAGATGAGCCAGACAACATCAACTTCCTGACACCCCTGCTTTCAACAGTAAAGGTCAAGCCCTCGTCACTTTCTGCAAACCTGGACTAGGCCCCATTTTGCACAGGAAGAGAAGAGCGTGTGCTCTGACGCTGGGCCCGCTGAGCCTACAAGCTACAGGCACAGACATTCACTGTGCTGGGCATGAAGGTCAGGGCCCCACAGTGGCCAGTCACACTGTACACACCGCAGCACCAACCACGGTTATCTGTGTGGGGTGAGGCTGCAGGAGCTGTCACTTCCTGTGTTGTCTATCTTTCCTCTGTTTGAATTTTTTATAACGAACACATATTACTGCTATAATAGGAAAAAGACAGAAGACAGCACCCACTCCTCTCTTACCGCCTCAGCTGCCTGGGCATGCAGCAGGCCAGGGCGGCTAACTACAGCTTGAGGAACTCAAAGGCCCAAGCTGAGGCCTGACCTGTCCCCATCCAGTCAGTCACCATGTCCACTTAACCATAGTATATCAGGATCGACCAAGGCCCCAACGTGCGTCAGGCCTTGGGGTGACAGCTCATAAGACAAAGCCCTCATGCCCAGAATGCTATGGTGGGCTATGGTGCCCAGACCGGCCTTCATCTACGCAAGATTTATTTGATATGATGTGTATCAGACTCCACCTAAGCCCTGTTGAGTTAGAAGGGCCAAGTCTGAGAGTCTGCATTTTGTTAGTGACTGAGGCTCCCTCTTCAAAGACAACACACAGGCCCCCTGCCTGCTCTCCATCGCTTTGTGGGCAGAGACCAACCTTCCCACCACCTGGGTCCATCCTCAAAGACACTCAAGTGGGGCCCTCCCTGGTGGTGCAGCAGGTTGGAGCACTGCACTGTGAAGCCAAACCAAGCCCAGACCGCTGTGAGTTCGATCCCCGCCCCAGAGGTGATCCACATGGCGCGGCAGACCTCTCCTGACCTGCCCACTGCTCCCCTCAGCAGTGTACTTCGTTGATCTGCCTGTTCTGCTCCCCACTGTCTCTGGTGAATCCTCTCGCCATTCCTGTACCTCTGCCCTGCACTCCATTTCAGCATGCATAAATAAATACAATCTTTTACAAAAAGAAAACACTCAA